GAAACCCTATACAGGGTTGCTATGGGTCGGAATCAAGTCAATAGCACTTAACAACAACAACATCCCTATTTCTGAGTGTATACACCTAATTTATATGTATACCTTATGTACTTATTTGTAAGGAGCCGTGGTAGCATAGTGGGTTATGAGTTGGGCTGATACTGCAAAATCACAGTTTGAATCCACCAGCTGCTCCAAGGGAGAAAGATGAGGCTTTCTGCTCCCCTAAGGACTTCCAGCCTCAGAAACCCTGTACAGGACTCCTTCCTGTGAGTTGGAACTGACTTAGCAGCATATTACCACCAGTCATACTTGCTTATATTCAAGTTCTGAATGCTGTGTAGATTATAAAGGAACAACAGCCACAAAAGAAGCAGAGAAGTTAAAAACAATGAGACACGATATTCTGTACTTGAAATAGTTACTTGTCTATTTTGTGAGGGTTGGAAAACAGCAGATATATTTAAAATGCATTCTTTCCAGTCTGCCAAAAGTGAGTACTCAAGCAGAGGTGGCACCGCCAAGTCCCTCTGAGTATAAATATCCCTGCTTATTCCTCTGAATAAGTGCCATGGACTGCCAAAAGAACCAGTAGATCTGTTTTGGTTGAAGTGCAGCCAGAGTACTCCTTGGAGGCCAGGATGGCTAAGCTTCGTCTCTCATACTTTGGACGTATTGTCAGGAGGGAACAGTCGCTGGAGAAGGATATCATGCTTAGTAAGATGGAGGGTCGGAGAAAAAGAGGAAGACCCCAATGAGATGGATTGGCCAGGTGGCAGCATCGATGGACTTAATTGTGGCAGCAGTAGTGAGGTTGGCCCAGGATCGGACATTGTTTTGTTCTGCTGTGCATAAGGTCACTATGAGTAGTTGCCAACTCAGTGGCACCTAACAACAACAACAACAACAACAATTCCTCTGAATACCTTGGATCCTATAAGGCGATGTGGAATCTGCTGGCATCCACACCAATGACATTGTACATAAAGTATTAAAACCATATTTATTCTGTGGTTTCAAAAGGAAACCCCTGTTTTCCTGTGTGCATGCCCCCCCCCCCCAAAGATGCGGTTTCTTTTTGATAATTGAAGTGTGAAGCATTGTTTTCATCTGTGGAGTGCACACACCCTGAACTCCTACCTTAGAACACACGTTCTCATTCCTGAAGGTAAAAGGGAATGTAAAACTTTCTTGTTAAGTGTGGTCGAGTCGGTTGCAACCCTATATAGGGTTTCTTAGGAGTGGCTGATGAGCTGGAACCACCAACATTGTGGTTCAGACGACTTTGCAGTCCAGCGCATTTACCCATAGCACCACACCAGGACTCCAAAGCTTTATTAGAGTTTCCCTAGTAACCTGTATCATTTTATGATCAGGGAACCTTAACAGAAGTAAATAGTCCGATTTTCTTGGGTATTTGTCGTTGTTGTTAGGTGCCATTGAGTCAGTACTGATCCATAGCACAGCAGAA